TGCTTTTAAAGCATGGTAAAAGATTGAAAACAAAGTAATTCCAGTAGGAAATTCATTTGCATCTTGTTTTCCACTTACCTACCCCAAAAGGGTAGCAACCTATACAATGGATATACGCTACCAACCCATCTAAAATCCTATCACGCTATACCTAGAACACCAAAACAGCATGAAATCTCAAAACCATTAATCCTTACTACCAAGAAAAATAGTAAACCAAAATACAAGAAGGGACAGACAGCAGATCCTCCGATTTTTTTCATGCCTTAACCAAAATCTAATACATCAAAGCACCGGTTAGTTGATATTGATAATTTGGTACTTTCTTTTTTTTGGTGCAAGATAATTTGGTACTTTCAACAACACTAAACTCTAAGCAAATACACACTGAGTTCAGGGCCTCCAGACCCATCAGGGTTCATCATGTAAAAGGCTTCTGAGTCTTTAGACCCCACAACCCTCTCAAACTTGGCTCTCATGTACATGAGCTCGCCCTCCGATCCAACACCATCCACGTCCCCAATACTGCACGGTAGCACACCTGCGCCCATTGAAATTGGCTCCACAGCCTTCAACACCTTCCATTCTTCTGCTCCGCACTCACGCCTCATTGCATACCCACATTTCTTCCCGTTGCAGTATGTCCTCCACACAGGCTCTTGCAGCAGCTTCACCCCTTTCTTCTCCGTCTTCTTCTGACATTCCAGCGCAATTCTTACCAACCCAGAAGCCATTTCCCGAACCAGAACGCTCGTTGGAGTCGCGAGTTCGATTAGGAATGCTGGATACAGCTTTGCATCTTCCTGGAATGCGAAATGGACATGACCACGCCGGTAACCAAAAAGGGTGCCGATAACTTTGGTGCCTAAACCGGAGTGGTATGCTGATCGGTTCTTACCAAAGATGGTGAGAGCCGATCGGAGCTTGGAAATAGCAACAAGTGAGAGTTTTTTCCTGGGTGCTCCGACTGAAGAAACTTCTGCAGGTACCGGGATTGTAAGGTGATCTTCCTTCTCTTCCTCGCAGAAGTGTGAGGAGGAACTGAAGGTCAAGATTTCTTCCTCATCATTATTTTCTTCAAATTTCTTTTTCCAGTTGAGGTTCCTTTTGGAAAAGGCAAAAGAAGAGTCATGGGAGGTCTTAGCTGTGATTGTCTTCATCTCGGAAAGCAAAATACAGAGAGAAATAAAGAAAGAAGAAAGCCAAGACTAAGGAAAGAAAGAAAGAAAGAAGAAGGGATGGATAAAGGAGAATTTGTTTGCGTTTCCTACTATATAGTGGGTATGTAGGGTGGATTTTTTTTATTTTTATTTTTTTGAAAGAGAATCGTGACAAAAGGAAGGTGAGCTGCTCCACCTAACTGATAGGAAACAGGAACAGAGACAGAAAATGGAGGAGGTCGTAGAGGGACAAAGACTGAGGGATGGAATGGACAAGATAGGGGATTTGAAATGGGAATAGGAGGGTAGTGGGAATCTGGGGGGACAATGGGTTATGTGATTTCTTTGTCTTGTGAGGGATTGGAGCAGGAAATAAGGAGAGTGTGTGGGGCATATAAAGAGAGAAAGCGAGTCTTGACTGACCAAGTCTGACTAGCATTGGAAACTGATAAGGGCATCTCCGCATCTGGGAACGAGTAGCTCACACCAACCGTACCCACCAGGACCATCCCAATGCTTGCCCCTTTAGTCCTTTCACGCTCCTTCAAACACCCACGCAAGAGCCAAACCAAGCCTCATTTCACTCATACCCTCGAGCCAACCTTCAGCCACCATAGTGCTTTGCATCCTAATCTACCTTTCCGTATTAAAAGTCTGATTGATACAGCTTACCCTGCTCCAACACTCTCAAAAGAAGGTTCTGGAATACTATTCTTTCTGGTTCCATGGAATCCTTAACCAAGGTGTAAGCAGGATCTGTAAACCAGATAAAGCCACCCACAGAATCTTCCATGAGTGGGTAAATTGGAAATCTGATTCGGGAAAGTCCACATGCTGTCAAACAATATAATTTTTTAACTCAGCTTTAAGTAAGGATGTTAAAATCTTTAAAATAAGAATTAAGATTCAATTAGACCTAAGACGTAACCTCAAATTATTGGAAGAGTCTTCCTAGCAAAGTATCAATTTCAAAAAGTGAACTAATCATGATGACTATAACTCATCGAGCCAATAAACTTCCTGCAAAGGGATGAGCTAGATGGGGGAGAATTATCTACTTAAGCTTGACATTTTGAGCATGGTAGATCCCTAGGTTAAGACTAATTCCAGAATTTTGTTGCACTTAATTACTTCCGTATGATATCCTCCACATGTGCTGCAGCGCATCCTCGGAGTCAAACCTGGTTTCTGGTTGGATGTTCAGACAGAACATGGTCAAGACTTAAGCTTGTCAATCCCCATGAAAGTAGTTATAGAAAAGTCACATGTTTAAGCAATTTTGTTAAGTCATGTGACCAACCCAAGCTGCAGATCAACTAACAATGGAACATGAACTACTGGAACTAAAATTCATTCAGATGTACCAACTAATTTATAAATTTATCATAAAGACGTCATCTTGTCTCAAACTAGAGAGAGCACAAGATTAAGAATGAATTATATTTAACAGTGCAGCCTGGAAATACAATCAAAGTAAAAAAGTCAGTACTTGTAAGAGCTAATGAAAACATAAACAAAATATATTTCTCTCAAAAAAGTAGGAATCTTTTTCTTGTTGGTTGGTTTGGTATTCTTCTACCTAAAGATATGTGTACACCAAGGGGGAAAGCTCAGAAAGCCAAACACAGAGTTGAAGTATTGGCTTTTGAGGGGTTCTAAATTCAGGGAAAAGTTGATTCTTGTTCTTGTTTACTTTAACCAATCCTTTTCTCTTTTCTTGCATTCTTCTTGGGTTCTTGAGATTTTTCTGTCTCCTTTTAGGAATTTGTTGAATTTGGGGATAATGTTTGTTATTAATTCACCCACAATGTACATACAAATTATAGTTTTCCTTTCCCCCTTTTTTTTTTCCTCTTTTTTTTTTTTTTTTTTTTAATGTATTTACATGACACAGAGAAAGAGAGAGAGAGCTCACCTTCTAAAATCTGCCAATAAAGAGATTCTTGATTCAGCAAATAAGATTTCAGTGTTTCTGCTCCTACCTCTTACACGAGAATTATATCAAGATTACATTACATGGAACATGACACATAAATTAAACTTTCTCTGAAGTTGTCCCTACAAATTGCTGCATTATTAACTGACAAGAATCTCCTGAAACATAGAAGCAGAAAAAAAGAATCAAGCAAATAAGCATTGTGAAAAAGAAGAAATTAAAACTTAAGAACAAAACAAAAAGGGAAATCCACACTAAATCATGTTCCAACTTATTTGCATGTGTATGCATGTCGAAGTAGGAGAGAAAAAACGTGTGAGATTTTGTAAGATTCAAAATGTTTAGAGCCCTTTTCGTTCTGTATTGGGCTAAATGTGACAGAATCAAACTGGATTCAGTTTGTCTGAGCTACCTAAAAAGAACAAAAAAGCTTGAGGTCCGAGATGGAGAAAAAAATAAGATGGAAAAGGGAGGCAAATTTTAACAAAAACTTATGAAGAATTTTTTGAATGAGTTAAGGTCTCTCTTCACATGCCAAAAAATGGTAGGATATCTCAGCGGCATTCGGACGAGAAGGAGACAACAGTGGCACGTTTGGGCGTGGCAACGGAGACAGAATATCAAAGAGGAATGAGATTATCTCATTTTAACCTGTGGGACTTTGAATCTCATCATGGTTTAGATTTAAAAATTTTGTGTAGGGTTTATAATAAAAAAAGTTATTTCTCAACTCCATTCTTTTCTTTTGCCCTTTGCGATGCTTTTAAAATAATGAAACAGTTGTTGTCAACTTTTGATATTGCAAATCATTGCTTAATTAAACCATTCACATGGCTTGCTGAGTAGTAGAAATTTGAAATTTAATACTCCAACATTACTTGGCATGTTCATATCAAATGAAATTTTCTGTATGCATCAAAATTAGTATGAAATGCTCAAAATGCTCAAAAAGTGCTTCCATAACATACCCTAAACCCAAGAGCCTATAAAGAAACCCCTACTCTTTAATCACCTTAGATGGCCAAAAAAAAAAAAAAAACTCTTTTTGGAACCAACAGCGTCCTCAGATCAAGTGACCAACTTCATTCAAGCACACCAAAGATTCATTAGGAGCCATAATGATACCTGATTGTTAGTGAACCGGACAACAACCCCAAAACTAACCACTGAATCCAAGGCCCACGTTCTCAAAATCAATCCTCTATGGTCCACTGATACTTCCCAACTTTTAGTCTAAAGATGGAAAGCTATACTGAAGTGTACGCTATCACGCAAGACCTATCAACTTATTTTCTAAGGTTTGAATGATACATATAAGACACAGAAAACTTGCCAAAATTCAAGATAATTATGATTCATGACATGTCTTTACAATCTGAATTTTACTTTCCATCTATCCAGGGATGACATTGGTTATAACCAAAGCCTTACAGTAACTACAACTACAAAGATTAGTGGATTTAATGGAAGTTCGGACTACTTATAAACTATCTCATCGACATACAACATCATAAGTTTCTTCTACTGAGAGTAGCCTTAACTTGTTCACACCTCAAACCCTTGAAGTCTTTCTAAATTAGCTCTAGTCCCCCATTAATGACAACAAAAGTAAAATGAATTATTACAACTAAAACTAACCTGTACAAAGAAGAATTTCACCGTTTAACCATTCCTTTATGAGAAGTGTTTTGTGGGAGGTAAAACTAAACCTGGACAAAAATCAGTGTCATTTTTTCAATGTTCCTTTTCTGAGCAGTGTTTTCTAGGTTGGGTGATGAGCCACTGTTTGCTCTCAGATTGAGTACTACGACTTGAATTAAGGCAAAACAGACATCCTATTTAATTTTGTAAGTTTTGGTCTTTATTCTCTACCTTAAGGCAACAAAGAAAAGGATGTGTTTCAACCAAAACTATGCTAACTCTGATAATAGTAACATTACACCCAACCTATGACATGGTTCTGCACTCTTTAGTTATTAGGATAATTACAACATCACTTTCCTATTTTGCATCAAATCCTTGCTAAAACCCTTGAAGAAGTTTCCTTCTGAACTTAAGTCTCCGCCATCAGTTTGGATATATTAATAAAAAGTTGTAGTCAACATCCTTTTCAACATCTAAAACCCCTTATGTCTATTGAAATTTTACAATCCTGTGTAAAAGGAGGATCAAACAAGTACACTCCAATACTCTGCAAGCATCAGAAAAGTTCAAATTCAAATAGCATTTTTTCAGTCTCCTGTGATTAAATGCCCTCATCCTTAAAGGATCCACATGTATACCATCCCAAGATATCATATTTACTTGAATCTACCTTATCTTGCCACAATTTATATTTAACCAACTCAGAATTTAGCTTTTACTCCATTGAAACTTATCTTAAACATGCCTATAATGAACCATATGTAGCTATGTACCATATTGACCCAATGGAAGCACTTTTAGAATGACATGATTTTGAGCACTTTATACACATGATGATGCATGAAGAATTTAAAATTTATCATGCACCAGCAGAAGCATATATAGTTGGAGACTTAAAAAGTCAAATATCCATTACTACTTTACTAGGCTAATCACATGCAAGATGTAATTGAGAAATAATTTTACAGCATCAAAAACTTCTAACAACAATTCCATTATCTCAATCTTGGACATAGGCAAAAGACAAAGGAAACAAAAAGGTGTTGGGATATAACTTTTTCAAACCTTGACAAATTTTAAATAAACCACATGAAATTTTTTATGTCCTGACAAGCCAAAATGAGATAACTCCTCTCCATTTTATATTTCCAGGGCCACACACATATTCCACGTTATCTGCCCTCTTCACCTTACATTACAAAGACACACACCTTTTTACGCATGTGTTTAAGCCTCAACTTCTCTCCAATCCTCCACTTACTTATGTTTTCAATTTGCAACTCTTTTCCTCTCTATTTTTTTTATGGCTCTTTGGACATGCTTATTCTCCGCTTTAGAAATCTAAGACTGCTTGGACTCAGTAAGATTCTACCACATGAAATAGCCCATTTGGAAACAAAGAGTGGTTTTCTTTGAATCTTATAAAATCTCCAGCTCTCTTTTAGTTAGAAATAACCATACAAATAACTTTAGGCATGATTTTAATGGTCTTAGGTTAGTTAAGTGTCAATGCTCTTTGAAAAACAAATGAAATCTTTTTAGTTAAGTACTAAGATAAGATTCTCATGTTACCACTCCATAATATTATATAATTCAGTACTCTTGAGTGTGAGAAATGGGCTACTAGATAAATGGGGAGAAACTATCAAGTTGTTGAATTATAAAATTTGGATCTCATAAGCTTTTATAATAATATATAGGCTCTTAAGAAAAAATTCTCACAGGCGAGGAAACCAATCCTATTATAATTTATGAGCTCTTGCTTAAAGTTCTAATCTTTGAATAAAGGTTAGTATAAGCACAATAGTAACACTCATCAGAAGTGAAATTCAACATCCTTAGTATAACAAACACGAAGCTAAAATTAGAAGTAAGTGCCTCAATAATCACTTTTTAAGATATAAGATTATTCATATCATGGGAAACACCAAAATCCTGACCAGCATAAGAAATTTTATTTGAAAACCTGAAATAAATTGAATATAACTAAATAACAAGACAATATATTTCTACAGGGAAAACAGAGCAATACTTTCAATTGAAGTAATCATAAACTGGGTTTTAGGCTTTCAGAATATGCATATTTGTAATTAAAGCAGAAGACTATGATTTAAACCTACCGATTATAAGAAGTTCCAAACAAAAATGCAAAGTGCATGAACATAGTAAAGTTTACCTGCACTGTGAATGGGGGAAGAAGACGGGTCCAAGATTACCTGGACTGGCACCTAGGAGCGCCAGTCGGCGCTTTAAAACTATAGGAACAAAGAGTCGTTTTTAGTGCTCTCTATTTCAGCCTACACCGTTCGGTTCTATGGGAGCGCCGATCCTGTGGCCGGCTAAAATCCTTGAAGAAAACAGAGAAGCTTCAGTGCTCTGTTAACCAAATTTCATTGCCCCAACGTCGGATTGGCGCTCTGGGAGAGCCCTCCTGCCCTTCCGCCGGACGGTTGGGGAATAAACAGCGGGAGGGAGAAAGGGCGACCCGGCGACCTGGCGTGGCAAGGGGAGGAGTGGGAGAAGGAAGGTTTTTCCAACGGCTGTCATTCTCCCATTTTTTATGTATGTATTTCGTATATTTCAGCCGGAGTGCATTGCAGTTACTATATGGGAATTATTACATTACTAATAATAAATATCACTTCATATACGAAAAAACATTTTATAAAAAAATAATAAATAATATGGAAAGAGTTTTATTAAGTGTATTTTAATAATTTTAATGTTATAATTATATTTTTATTGTGTAATTTAATTTAAAAAATATTTTTATTCAAATAAAATTATTATCATAATAACTTTTTAAAAACCATTAATTTAATTGTAATTTTATTAATTGTTCGAGGGTATTGGTGATGTAAGTGAATGAGTCAACAGCGGTAGTGATGTGGAAGCTGACTAGGATGACACCTGAGAAAATGAGGAGGGTTCTTTTGGCGACACTTGTCTCATATGTAGAGGGCTACATGTTACAGGCTACATGTTACAGGCCATCCCGTTCTATTGGGTAATGATATCTCATAGTGCACTTTCTAGCAAAAGCTTCTAAAAGATGAACTTTTCAGCCAAGCTGATAGAGCTGAGAAACAATGCTGGGATTCCAAGGGTTTAAGGTGATCACACAACTACTAAGAACATAATAGGGAGAAGTTATGCGTTGTTAAGGGGGGTAGCAAAGATGTGAAACATATATGGTTCAAAAATTACAACTTAAGAATCACACTCATATACATAAATCATTGTAATATGCTAATAATGACAATAAATGTGACCTCTTTCATTTCTAGTGTAGAATTTTACTCTATAACGAACAATCCTCATATTGAAAATGAAAAGTGCAGCAACTTCACTCTTGAGATTCTTCCAAAGATAAAAGGGATAAACTTGAGAGTGATGATGGGAGAAGGAAGAGTGACTACTTGGGAGCTTGCGAATGAAACACTTGATCTCGTTTTGACGCTAACCTTGCGACCTTGATTGTCTGATGCTCAAGAAGAACTATTCGAAAGTTGAAACTACAGCATGTTGTTCCCCAGCCATAATATCCTGCAAATCTAGAAATATTCCGCAGTGCTGAGTGATATTCTACAATGCTGGAAAATATTCTGCAATGTGGGAAAGTGTTCTTCAGAGCTGGAGAATGTTCTGTAGTGTTGGAAAATACTTTGTAGAGCTAGAAAATATTCTGTAGAGCTAGAAAATACTCTGCAAAACTAGAGACACTGGGAACCTAAGAAAAATGGTGGTTTATGGGTGATTTCTACATGCAAAGCAGTGGGTTGAAGATGGAATCTATTTTTCTTTTGGAGGAGAAATGAGAGTTTTGGTATATAGGTCTGTTGTTGTGCTGCATGTATTTTTCTCTCCCTGTTCTTGAAAATGAAGGGCAAATAATTTATATATATGCAGTGGTATTGTTGTAATTTCTGATTGGCGGTTTAGAGGTGTGCAGAAAGGTTGGGGTGAGTTATCGAATTTTTGGTGGTTCCAGGCACTGTTAGCAACTCTGTGACAGTGGCATCATGAATTGTCCAATGGTCCCAACGAAGTTTTGCTGGTCCTAGCGAAGAAACTGAAAATTGTATATTTTTGGCAATGTCCCCAGCCATACGAAATCCCATCTTTGGAGAGGTGCTTGAGTGTAACCGGCAAAAACAACATCTGCACAGGATTTGATGAATTCCCCAGGCTCTACACAGGATTTTGGAAGATTCTGCAAGTAGATAACAATCTTTTACAACAGTTTCCAAGACCATGGAACTTGTGTAACCACCTTGCATTAAATATGGCTGCAAGTTGCTGATAGTGACCAAGACAGCACCTCTGGTTAGTTTCTGGCGGGATTTCCAATCTTCGGTTAGCATTAAACGGCACTGTTTCGGGAATCAAGTTCATTTCCATGTCTTTGCCACCCAACCTATTTCTAGCGAAGTCGGGCGGCATTGCCAATGCCAAGCTTCGCTGGTGCGGATGCCTTGCTTCGCCAAACGGGCAGCGTTCATCCATCCATGCCTACCAAGCCACTACTCCTATAATTTATCTCGAATAATCCCCATGAACTTGGATTCATGGGCTTGTGTTTATCTACAGTAACAGTAAGGCACATGTGAATATATGTTCAGATATTTAAGAATAAGAAACATATAGGCATATGCAGCGAAGAAGGAAACTCTCTCATGTGTTGAAGGGGACTATGTGAATGAATATTCGTTGCTCTCGTTTGCCTACTGGCCATGGCCGGCATCTGTATATTGTTGTTGTACATAGTTGGCGTTGTACCAGAATGAGAAACAAGTGGCATAGGTGTATACTGCAATATCATTGTCCCGAGTCAAGCTTCGCTGGCCAACAATACCTGTTGACACGTGAGACATAGAAAATATGTGTTGTGAGTTGGGATTACCAACGATTGCTAATTTTGTCCCTTTGTATAGAAGAATGACAATGTGCATGACCTTCGGCCATGTTATATATGTATTACGGGGTCAATCGTACATAGCCTTCCCATAGCCAAAGGGACAATAGTGGCTAGCTTTGTCCATGGTTGAAGCGTGAACTATGTGGAATTGGAAGAGCACTCCTACTAATCCACTAAGCTGCGAAGGGATAAATTTCATTAAACGAGATTTCGCCATAGCGATGAATATGTATAGAGAGAGGTGGAGTTGTCTATATGGAAGGGGGACGCTAGCCGCATCCATAGCCTATGATACAACAAGATGTGATACCATTGACAAACGTTTGCCCTTCTTATCGTACCCGCACCGTCAGAGGGTGGTCTTAGTTGTTGTTGCTCGCTAGGCACCACACCACTATGCACGGGCAACCACCAAGGGATCGTCGGCCGCTATTTGATGGATTTTTATCGCTGGATAGTAGCCATCCTATTCAATCGCAAGGTTGCAATTATTAACAGCCTTACGCTAATTGTATTGAGTTGTGTTGACTCTTTGTCCGTTTTCAGGAGTCAATGAGATAGAATATGTAGAAAATAGACTATTTATCCGTTGTCGAGAGCTGGTGAAATGAAGATATGTAGAAATGTGTAGCCTTTTGTCCATTGCTGGAGGCCAAATGAGATAGTAAATCTGACCCTTTGTCCATCGTTGGAAGCTGTGTGGATATAATAAAATTAGCATGTTGTAATTGATGGGAGCCATGCAACAAAATAGGCTCTTTATCCATTACTGGGAGCCAAAATATGTAGCAGTAAGCATCGCTGTAGAGAATATGACCATCAAAAACGCCTAGCCATGTTGTGTAGATAATGTAGCCATGTCTGGCCATGTGTAAGGGAATGCTGTTGAAGTAGAATATGTTTGTATTATTACCAACAAAGTGGGTAAATGCCACTTCTGGCGGCATATAAGAGAATAATGTTGAGTATTGCTTCTAGCAATATTGATTCCAT